TCCATTGTCTTCATGAAGGGAAACATGATGGCAAGAAAGCAGGCATGGTGCTGGAAAGGTAGACGAGAGTTCTGCATCTTGATACACAGGCAGCAGAAAGAGGCCATGAGCCACTAGACCTGGCTTGAACTTCTGAGACCTCAAAGCCCCAAGTGACACACTTCCTATGTCAAGGCCATACCCACTTCAACAAATGCAAACTCCTAATAGTGCTACTCCCTTTGGAAATAGAAGTGGAACTGTAATCCAAAGTACCACATCAACCATATCGGGTTTTTACTTAAGGGCCATCCCATGAGATGGAACCAATCCCCACCCCAGAACTAGAGACCTAATAGCCCAGACACCTAAACGAAACATAAAATACTACTGTTTTGCTTAAGAAATGTAGCTGGAGAGGACAAGAACTCCACAAGGAGAGCAACAGAACAAGAAAATTTGAACACAGGGAACTTCCCAGAGAATCATACTCCAACCAAGGACTATCTGTGGAGATAACCTAGAACCCTGACAATGCAGCCACTTCTGCTGAGAACTGATAGACTAAGATCAGAAAGAAGGAGAGGAGGACCTCCCCTATCAGTGGACTTGGGGAGGGGCATGCATGCAGGGGGGAGGGTGGGGCTGGGAGGGGAGAAGGGAGGGGCTTATTGGGGGATACAAAATGAATAAAGTGTAATTAATAAAAAAATTAAAAGAAAAAAAACAAGGAAATAAAAAAAAATGTAGCAAAAAAAATATAACTTTTAGTGGCATTCTGCTTTATTCATAATCTTCTGCCTTGTTCAGTCATCATCAGAGACACTTCCTTTTGCAGTAGATTGGAACAAATACAGAGACCAACAATCAGAAAATGTTCACAGTGTATGAGGCTTTGGAACACTCAGTCCTAAATGGGATATCTTCATCAAATCCCTCTCCTCCAGGCTTAGAGAATTCTGTGGGAAAAGAGGCAGAAAGATTATAAGAACCGGAGGGAATGGAAGAGCCAAGGCATTCTAAGTATAACAGGACCAAGGCATATATGAACTCACAGAGACTGTGGAAGCATACATACAACCTTCCATGTTCTGCACCAGATGGGGTTCCAGGGCAAAGAAGAGAATTTAGCACAAACCTCATCCCTAACCCAGATGCTATCTCCAATTCATAACCACTCACTAATGAAAAACTAGGTTTGCACTTAAAGAGATGCTCAAAATCCTTAGCCATCAGGGAGATGCAAATCAAAATGACCCTGAGATTTCACCTTACACCCATTAGAATGGCTAAAATAAAAACCTCAAGTAACAACACATGCTGTAGAGGTTGTGGAGGAAGGGGAACCCTCCTCCTTGGGAATGTAAACTGGTACAACCAATTTGGAAATCAATTTGGCACTTTCTCAGACAATTAGGATCCTCAAGATTCTAATTAGGATTCCTCAAGATCCAGCTATACCACTCCTAGGCATATATCCAAAAGATGCTCAAGTACACAACAAGGACATTTGTTCAACCATGTTTGTAGAAGCTTTATTCAGAATAGCCAGAACCTGGAAACAATCCAGATGTCCATCAACAGAGGAATGGATTCAGAAATTGTGGTACTTTTACACAATGGAATACTACTCAGCAATCAAAAATGAGGAAATCATGAAATTTGCAGGCAAATGGTAGGATCTAGAAAAGATCATTCTGAGTAAGGTATCCCAGAAGGAGAAAGACACACATGGCATATACTCACTTATATAGACCTATAAGATATGATAAACACACTGAAATATACACACCTAAAGAGGATAAACAAGAAAGAGGACCCAGGGTAAGATGATCAATCCTCACTTACAAAGACAAATGAGATGTGCAGTGGACGTAGGAGAAAACAAGTAACAGGACATGAGCCTACCGCAGAGGGCCCTGAGAGACCCTACCTAGCAGTGTACCAAAGCAGATACTAAGACTCATAACCAAACCTTCAGCAGAGTGCAGGGAATCATATAAAAGAAGGGGGAGTTAGTATGACCTGGAGAGGACAGGAGCTCCACAAGGATCAAATATACTGGGCACAGGGGTCTTTAATGAGACTGTTTCTCCAACCAAGGACCATGTATGGATATAACCTAGAATCCCTGCTCGGATGTAGCCCATGGTAGCTCAGTATCCAAGTGGTTCTCTAGTAGGGGGAACAGGGACTATTTCTGACATAAACTCAATGGCAGGCTCTTTGACCTCCCCCTCCAAGGAAGGAGCAGCCCTGCTAAGCCATAGAGGAGGACTTTGCAGCCAGTCCTGAAGATACTTGATAAACCATGGTCAGATGAAAGGGGAGGAGGTCCTTCCCTATCAGTGGACTTGGAAAGGGGCAGGGAGGAGATGAGGGAGGGAGGATTGGATTGGGAGGGAATGAGGGAGTGGGATGCGGCTGGGATACAAAGTTAATACAATGCAACTAATATTTAAAAAAATAAAAACAAAAGAAAAAAGTTTTCTCCACTGTGGTCTCATTAGGAATGCAAACTGAAATCCCAGCAGTAGATAGCCAAGACAAAACAAATTCAGTGTCATCTTTTGAGGTAGTTTCTCTCATGTTTTATCATGGTGTTTTGTTTATATTTATTTTTTCTCACCTTACAGGTTCTTTGTGCACATATTATGGCTTTCAATTTGTGTTTTTATGGGATTTCTGTGTGTGTGAATGTGTGTGCCTCTGCTTCTATATGTGTTGCCTGTGCTTTTGTTTTCTCTTTTCTTCTGTTTGTCTGTTTTAGATTTTATTTTATTATAATTCTTCAGCTGCCTGTTTTCTAAGAAAGAGACAGAAAGTGTTTGCATTTGGATGAGTGGGAAAATGGGGAGGATATCATTGGAGTTAAGAAAGGGGAAACTGTAATCAAACTATATTGTATTAAAAGTGTATTATCAATTAAAGAAAACTAGAAAAATGCACCTTTAGAATGATACAAAATAGTAGTTACATACTTGGGATATTTGATGATGACTACAGAGAGTATTCCAGTAACAATTCTTGCTAGAGAAACTTATAGAAAATCAAGGGTAAATTTGTTTTCTCTGTCTGACCTCACACTTGACGTTTGAATAGATTCATGTTATGGGTACTAGTCATCAGACTTGCTTTAGGGTCCATGTCTTTTTGTAAAATAAATAGTTGTGACTGAGGTGGTTTACAGGATTAGTCCCAGCACTTGTGAAGCAGGAGAGTGCAAATCTTTGCGAGTCTGAGGATACCCTTGGCTACAGTGTGAGTTCCAGGCTAGCTGGGCTACGTAGTAAGAACCTGTATTTTAAAAATTTTTTAAATTTATTTTAATATTATTCATTTTGTAATGTTCTTATAATATTTAGGAGAAGTACAAACAAATCAAGTAAATTAAAGTAACTTAGGATATAATTTAATACTCACGCCATGAAATTTTTTTTCAGAATTTAATCGTGCACATCAGAAAATTGGAGATATTTCCTTGCTTCTGTGGTAAATGTTAAAATTTTCTATATCTAAATTAAAGATGTTCTTTAATACAATCCATGGTATCTTACAAATAATTGGTACATTTCTTTCTTGATTGGTAGTTTGGAATATAGAATGCCTTAATACAGTTTGTGAAATATTTAGCCACATGTTAAAGAGCACACTACAAATTATCAGGCCTTATATTAAGACAGAGGATTGTCTTTTTCTTTTTTGAGACAAGGTCTTACCCTTCCTTGAGCTTGTTATGTAGTTCAGGTGTCCTTGAACTTGGTTTTTCATTTAAGTTGGTCTTGAATGTGCCATGCAGTCCGAACTGGCCTCATGTTTGTTTCTGTTGGTTCAGCTTATCATGTGTGGGAATTTTTAGCTCCCATTACCACCCAAAGATTTAAAGCAAAATTTTTTCCAATGCTTATTACCATCTACTTTAGTCAAGATGTCTTCTGAGTGTGTTTTTCCTTATTCTGTTCCCCATGAAACTTTGATTTTGTAGTTATTTTGTGTATATGCATTTCCATCTCATGCGTTTACATTGTTTTGTAAATAGGAAGAGTAAGATTTCTATCCCAGAACCATTTTTTTCCTTTAGGAACATTATTGCCCATATCAAGAAAGTAGGAAATAAGAGAACCCTTTATTATGCTTTTGAAAATATTACTTACTATAACATTAGAATTAAGGTTGTTCCTTAGCTTTAAAACTTTTTACTTTAGTCATGTGCCAGAATGTCTAGGCATTGTATGATCACCATAAATATGAAAAAATACTGCCTGCAAAATCTGAACATTTGTTATTTACCTCAACAGTCAGAAAGCTGCCCATAATAATTTTTAGCGAATAAAAAGATCTTCAAGTTCATCTAATGATGTCATTCAACATATTTTCACTTAAGAAAAGACTATCTAATCTTTTAATGAATAAATTAAAGATCTTTACTACTTCACTTTTACATATTCATGACTTTAAAGGCATAACTTAAATAATTCATACATAATGAGATGTTTTACAAATCATTTAATTTTCACAGAGAGCTATGCTGCTTTCTTCTTCACAATTAAACCCAGCTGGGATGAGGAAGCTGTCTAGGCAAACTCAGCAGTTTGAAGTTCCCCTCCTGCACCTGGACCAATGAAGGGCAGAGCTCTGTCCATCTAGACCCAGGGATTCGTACTTGACAGAAGATGAGACACCCTCTATGACCAATAAGCTTAAATGTTTGCTTGCAAACCTTATCAGTAATAAATGGCTTTAACTAATAGGAAAGAAGTAATTTATTTGGATCTTTAAAGAGCAAAAAGATATTCAGTGTGTTTTTAAGTATTCACTGATTTTTTTCCCTCTCTGGGCTGTGCAGTTAAAACCAACCAACCAAACAACCCCTGCCCACCCCCAAAAAACAATGCTGCTGAAACCTGAAAATAATGACACATGAACCTTTAACTTTGACATATGAAATTATATTAATTCATATCTGAAAATTCAGTTTTGTTTCTTTTTCCAATTGATTTTGGTTGTATTAAGTTGCTATTTGAAGACATGAATGTCAAAATAATCAGTAGTTGCTACAGATGTTAAATATTTTAGGAAATCCATACACCAGAAAGAAGATAAGGGTTCAAGAAACTCATCATTAATATACAGATATCCATAGTAACAAGGCTTCATCAATCTAGTCAAATGTACACAGGTTTTGTAAATAAGTTGAGGGTGAACTTAAAACCAGAAATCATCTCCACCACTGCTTCTAGTACTTGCTCTCTCCCTGCCCTTTAATCGAAGCATCTCCATGATGCTCCGGGCATAGACATCTCTCAAGTTAACACTAATGTATGAGTCAGTGGCTATATTCTTGGTAAGCTTCTTGAGAGCTTCACGCTGTCTCACAGCTGCTTCCTTGAGTTTCAAGGTAAAGTAGCAAGCAGAGAAGCGATCATTAATAATGGCAATAGGCAAGGCCAAGACAAGGATTCCTGATAGGATACACATGAAGGCCACGATTTTGCCTGTGGTGGTGTCTGGTCTAATGTCCCCATAACCTACTGTAGTCATGGATGTTGTGGCCCACCACCATGCACAAGGGACGCTTGTGAAGGTTGTGTCAGGAATGCTTTGCTCTGCAAAGTATTCTATTGTTGAAAATATAGAAATCCCCACAGAAAGAAACAGGAGCAGTAGGCCAACTTCTTCATAGCACTGGGTGATTGTCATCCCAAGTGAGCGCAATCCTGCAAGACAAGAGGTGCTGTCAGACACAAGCATCCTTCTTTTGCTTTACTTTTCTCCTTCCCATTTCCTTCTTTGCAATCTGCCCAGATGCATGTTCTGCATAACTAATATGGTGAGCCATGTTCTGGTGATACAGTGAAGACTGAATTATGACCTTTGTTCCCAGCAAGTTTCTAGTCTAAACGTGGTGGAGCCAAGTTTAGAAGAATAAAGAAAACTGTAAGTAAATTCATTAATTTACTTGCATAGTCATTGAGTTCATGCTCTTTCTGTCTTTTCAATGTAAAAAAAAATGAGACTGAAAGACAGGCAGAGGCTGTGATGAAGTCTTTGTAGGGATTCACGTGGAAGGCTCACTTGATCAAACCTGCTTTTCAATGTCTCATTTCAGCACTTCTGTTTAACACCATTTTGATGTTGCTCTCATAGATTGTTGTGTCCTATTTTATTTTTTCTATTGTTTGCTTTTTTGACAGTGGGTTTCCCTGAGTAGTCCTGGCTGTCCTAGAACTCACTCTGTAGCCTAGGCTGGTTTTGAACTCAGAGATCTGCCTTCTTCTGTGTCTTATTTTCTTACTCATAATAAAGCTTAATACAATCAGAAGCTTCATTGTCTGAGAATCAGAGGAAGTGTGTACTCCATAGCAACAAAATCAAACAGCAGGAGCAAGTTAGGTACCAGTGGCAATGCTGACATCAACTGTATATCCAGAACATGTTCTTACTAGCATATGAAAAGGTTCTGAATTTCCCAGAACATTCACTGAAATTTTAGTTATCTCCTTTGAGCATATAATATTTCTGACTTTCCTTAAGAAGGTAAAGCTAAGCAACATATCATTTCATTGCTAAAAGCATAGGAATGGAGTGATATGAGAAATTTACCAACTATGAGGAAACACAGGCTTATGGAATCCCAGTACGACCTGTAAAAGCCTTACTATTAAGGAGAGAAACAAGAACTGAGTATACACTAGGCCTAGAATTAGCTAGTAAGATACCTTTCCCAAGGTTAGAGAAATGTTTCCAAGTGTTTTGAAGTCATAGGAACATGACAGCACAAAGAAATTGCCTTGAAAGTCCAAATTAATAATTTTTAGAATGATTTTTATTTTTAGTCACCCTTAGAGATTATTTGAAGTAAATGAGAGTACTACTCAGTCTACTTATTTTGAAGTTTGCTCTTCAAATATTAAGATAGTTTAGTCTTATTATTATCTATTTTTTTTAAAACACAATGCATACTGACTTTGGGGTTTAAGTTCAAAAGAATATCTTCCAGAACAACTTTGTACTACCTCATTAGAAAATTGTCTTTGATGTGTCTATATGGAATGACAATTTTGAAATAATTTGACACCATATAATGAGAAGTATACTGTTTAGAATAGATTTCATTTAAAAATAGAATGTTCTTAGCATATATAAACTTAGACACAAAATCAAAAATGATATGAGACAGATATTGTTACTGTTGTGCCATTTTACAGCCCAGGAATTTGACATTCACAGGGCTAGTGTATCTAGTACAAAACCACAAAAGCCAGAATTTATAGCACATAGTCAGAGATTCTAACTATTATTATGTGATATCTCTGAACAAAGGTTCCAAATAGGTGGAGACAGCATATTTGTGGCTATTTTTTGTAATTCTTATATTGGCAGAAAGCCATCAAATATCCATAAATTTGCCATACACTTTAAATACATTGAAACGTTGTTAAGACATTACACTTGCTTTAGATCTAAGAAAACTTTTGAAGAGATGGCACTGTAGAAATTACTATTATTTCCTTTTCCTTTATTTTGGAAAAAAATGTAGCTACCAGTGTTTTATAAATTGAATCCTGTGAAGAGTTTATAAATACTTAAAGAAAGCATCCCATTATCTGTGTCAGGAAACAAAGAGTGTTACTTATAAAAGTTCTTGGAAACCCCATTATCAGATCCTCGGTGTATAAGACTAGCTATGAAAATGCACAAGTAGAATTTTGTAAGGCAAATTTTAATTACAGAGATGTAAGAGGAGAAACTGTAATTTAATTTTTCCGTATGTTAAGAGACATACCACTTCTCTTGCCTTGGTCATTCAGATACACCTTTGTGGACATTTGTGGAGTAGCACTCGGTAATCGTATCTGTATGTGTGCATGTGTGTTTGTATATTATGCTGCTGCTCACACATATGGTTCCCAAATGACCTAGCTAAAAAAATATTTGTGTAACTACTTAATTGTATGTTCCCGAATCTCATTCATATAGAAAAATTTGGCTTTCTGACATCTGGGGTTGCAAATTTGTATTACAACAAATTTGTGGGAATATTTTCATTTTCATTAAGTTCTAACTCTGATAACCATAGAATGTTCAATAGTCACAAAACCAACTACTGAGCACCATTACTTTCAGATATAAGATTTCTTTTTAATTGCTCCATTGGTATTTGATATAGTTTCCAAGGACAAGTTAGTTTGTGCATGTGTGTGTGTATGTGTGTGTATATGTATGTATGTATGCATGTGTGTGTGTTTTGTATTAATTTTTCCAGAGAGTATTTATTTGAGTTTTCAAAATATAAGAAAATTCTCAAATACTAAATAAGACATTCAATTACTCCCATCTCTTTCTTCCCAAGCAAAATGATTCCATTTATTCATCAAAAATTAGTGTAAGGCCATCAACACCTGGCCGCATTTCATCTGCCATGACTAAGAAAGGCTCTTCTTTCCAGTCAAGAATAAAGTTACATATGTACATATATATGCATATATAAATTTCATAGACCACATATCTCAAATATTTCTTGGAAATGGGAGACAAAATAGCTTACGGACCTATTATAGTTTACATGTACATATGTATGTATGTTTTATGTATACCCTTAGAAAAGGGTATATATGTATATGTCTGTATGAATGTATCACTGATTTCTAAGAAACTGAATTTAAATGATCATCAAATTGTTCCATATCTTGTGGACAGAAAGTACGTGACAGAGAGCTCTATGCTTGTGATAACATCTTGGAGATTTTTCCTTCTAGTACTTTATAAGAGATGAGAGATGGGTAAGCCTGGAAGGTGGTGCTATGCTCGCACATCCAAAGCTTATAAACAAAGGGAAATGAAAGGCACCGATAAAATAGGAATACCTGTGGAATGCCTTCCCAGCTTGAGCATGCGCAGGGCCCTGAGGAGCCTCAAAACCTGGACCAGGCGCCCCACATTTTCCAGCTCCTGTGTAGTGTGGCTACCACTCAGGCTTTCCACCAGAAGAGTTATGTAGAAGGGCAAGATGGCAAGGAGGTCTATGACGTTTGGTACCTTCCGCAGGAAGCGACACCTGTCCCTTACACACAGAAAGCGCAGAATGAACTCTCCAGTGAACCAGCTGATGCACACATACTCCAAGATCTCCAGTAGCTGCAGGTTCAGCCAGCTTAACTCGGCTGACATCAGGGCCATGTTGACGATGGAAACTGCCACAAAAATGATGGAGATTACTCCAAAGATGCGCGCTGCTGTGGAAGACCCAGGTTTCTCCAGGAGATCCCAGAGCTTTTGACGGACTGTGGGACAAGGTCCTTGTGAGAAGTCCTGTTCACTCTCATGTTGACTCTCCTGGTCGTCTGTGTCCTTCTTAAAGTCAAGTGTTTCACTCAGCTCCTTTCTTCTGAAGTATCTTTCAAGGAAGACAACTTTGTGATTAATTTAAAACAGAAACACACACAAAAATACAAGCTTTACAGAGAGGCCACACTTTCATATGGGTAAAATATAGAAACATATATTCCTATTTTGCCCGGGGTGGTCCCTGCCAGATCTCCCACTTATGACTTTTAAAATGACACTTTTTCGTAGTAGAAATTTATGTAAATAAGATTTATACATAAGAAGGCAACTTTCTGTTAATGGCTTTTTATGACTTATTTTCTGAAGTTAAGAACATCTCTTCACCACCTGGAATGGTTCTGTGTATAAAAAAAAATATTCGTTAAAGAATGGTAGTAATAACAGGACACTATCAGATTCTATAATGATCACCCAAGGAGTCCTGTAGGAAATACAGGAGCTGAGGAGGTCCTTCAAGTAAGTTCTTCACAGCTAAAGCCCTGGTTTGAGGAGTGATAGTAACCAAAACCGTTCATTCCTATGTATTTTGGGAGGCATAGTTTTTCTGACTCAGCTGTTTAATTACCAGATGTTTACTTCAAGTCTGACCGGCCTGAACATTCACAGGAAATCAGAGTATTAGTTTCTGGGGGAATGGGGCAAGAAGTTTTTGTTGTCGTTGTTTTAAAGTTCAACACACAAGTTGACTGTAGGACTGATTTCTTGTCTCACGCAAACACCTTCCCTTCCAGCCAAGAGGCAGACACACCTATTCTCAGGGCTGGAGTAGCAAGCTTACACAAAGCCACAAGTCTTTGCCTGTGACTTCTTATCACCCTCTCCTGCCTTCCCGCCCAACTGCCGCGCCCTGCTGGTACCTGTCCCTGCAGCAGGAGTCGATGCTGAGTTCATCGATGCCCCAGTACTGGATTTCCTGAAGAAAGGAGAGAGCGCATAGCTGCTCCATGACGTGCAGACGGCCGGTTCGGTAGTAGTGCAAGACATAGCGGAACGCCTGAGAGCTGCGGTCGAAGAAGTACTCGTTGTCTACCGGGTTGGCATCATCACAAAGCTCCAGGGGGCTGGGAGCGGCAGCCAGGGCACCCAGGCGGCGGTAGGAGGCCACCACTACGGCCAGCTTGCCGAGGCGAGTGTGAGGGAAGCAGGACAGAGCTTGCTGCGAGAGCACGAAGCGGCTGCCGCCCACGTTGACCGTGAGGCAGTCCCCCAGAGCCAAGGGTTCCCCTTCGCCTTCGCTGCAGAAGACGCTGGAGTCTAGCGAGGTCAGGGAAGCGCTGTCCAGCGACGACGAGTCGAGCAGTGGCCGGCTGCGGGGCGACCGATCCATCCCGACCGCTTTGGTCTGAGGGCACCAACAAGTTGGGAAGGCGCTGGATCGAAGCTTGGTTCCCCTCGCGGGCGGTGGCACGGCCCCTCCTGGCGGCAGGGATCTCCCAGGTTCCCAAAGGAGAGGCCTCCCACTTGCGCACCCCTACTCTCTCCACCCCCTAGCTTGATGGCTGGTGTCGCTAGGGAGCTGCGAGTGCGCGGTAGAGCGAGGAGGCTGGGAGCGCAGGAGTGGTCGCGCACAGAGGGAACCCGTCACGCAGTCATGTGTCGTCCAGGCAGGGAACAGCCCCAGGACACACAACCTGTCGGGATGGCCTCTTCTAGATATAGACATAGCCTTTTCTCAACTTTGTAATTCAGACATCTTTCAGTGTACACGGTGTGTGGATTGAGAATCTGGCAGTTCCAGGGTGGGGGAGTTGGACAAGAGAGGGAATGGGGGTGGGGATCCGGAGGGCAGAAGCAGAGGGAGAACTGTCAGGTGCAAGGAAGGGGGATGGCGACCCTTGCTGTTGCCCAGTTGCAGACCAAAAGTTCTGAAAAAGACAGCGACAGTAGGATGTGAGTCCTAACTTGAGGATTTCTAGCCTTCTGTCTTCCACTGTAAGGTATTCACTCTGTGATCCTCTAGGGCTGTGAACGCATGGGGGAGCATGTCTGGGGTACCCGACTGGACTCAAGATTTCTTCCCACTCCTCTCTGGTTCCCATCTGTCATTTATGCTAGATTTCTTCTCTCCTCCCTTAGGTTTGGAGCTCCTAGTTGAGAAACAATCCTTTTAGTTGCCCTCCCAGTGGGTCTCCAGCCCACCGGCTGCCCAAGGGGACACTGCACACCACCTAAGTTTCCTCAGAAGAGGTATTCTGGGCACCTTCTCCAAGACAAAGGGGAGTGCTCACTTTAGGAAAAAGAGGAAGGTAGAAAGACAAGGTATAGAACAAGCGTGGGCTGAGGCAAGAGTTTAAGTAACAGCGACCCCAGGGTTAAAGGAGAAGCTAAATTCAGGAGATCAAGTGACAATAGCAGAGTACCTAGCAGAGTACCTAATGGTCGCTTAGAGCGGTGTCCCCAGCCAACCTGTTAGACACAGGGCTGGGGGGGGGGAGGAAGGGAGGGAGGGAGGACAGTGACTCACTTGCAACTTCAGGCACACTTGGAAGTTGTTCAGCCAGTGAAGCTGATAAAATAGTGATCTTGAATCCTTCTGGTCTACATATGAGAATCCTGATTTCATCAGTCAGAAAGAGACACTGCTCAGAGCACAGTTCTTAGCCAGTGTTTGCTGCCTTGCTCAGCCTCTACAGCATTTTGGCTCCTGTCCTCAGGATTCTGTGGAGAGTTACACCCCACCCCCACCCCTGCTGGCTGCCCTTGCTTAGTGTTCCTCCGTGGCCAGCTTCTTAAAGAAGAGTAAAAGTTGAGGAAGGAAGGAGGCAAGAGCCAGGGAAGAAAGGTGTGCTTAGTGACACAGAATATTACATCTATTGGAAGATGCTTCAGGAATTGTTACATTTGAGTTCCATTCTCCACCATCTGTGTCCACAAAAATGTTCCAACATTTCCAAACTGGTAAAGTGTTGGAAGGCAGGATTAGAACAGTTATATTCTACTTTCAAAACACGGATTAAGGTTTATCATTATGTCTAGCAACCATTTATACTCAGTATTCCCCAGCGTTTGCCTGGGAAAGTGGCCCTGATACTCTGTTGTTCCTTAGTTTTAGAATGTATAGTTTGTTGTAGTGAGGAGAGCTGTTCCATTGATGGTACAGATATTTGTTGTTTAGGTCTGACTTTGCCACTGGACAGTGGGAGTTCACATTATTATTTACTATGTGGACCTGAGTGCCTCTGCAAGATACCTAGTGTTAATAAAGATGACCAAACATTTATTGGATCCTAACTTTATACTAAGAAGTTTGTAGACTCTATACTATTGCAATATCTTGTTTAGTCAAAACAACACCATGAGACATCCGTGTGCTCATTTAGTGGAAAAAGAAGCATAGACAGAGAGGTTGAGTGGTTTAGACTCATTCAGTTCTAAACATCAGAGGATGTCTCCATAAGTTAAATGTGGAGATGTGATATTCGTTGATTTTCAAATAAATGAAACTGGGATGACTTTCACCTTACGTTTCTAATGAAGGGCCAGAGTCAGTGATGTGCTGGGAATTATAAAGAAAACAGGTTAGAATCTCTACTTGTGATGCGTTCAGTTAGTCGGTAAGAACTGCAGAGAAATTTCAATAAGCTCTTTTAACTGTGGAGTTCCTAGGTTATAGTTTTATTAGTAGCTGTACCGATTAACCTTTATTTCTTTAAAAAGTGCTCACAAGCAGATATTATGCTGTCTGAATTATCCCAGTATCCAGTTCATCATTATGTTTAGAAAGTGTGCCAACAGTGTTCTTATATACTGAGGATAAAACGTCATCTCAATCAATTACAGATCTATTAGTTACTGAAAGAGGCAAAAATTTCAGTCCTCTTATGCTTTATGATCATTAATGAATGTCTACATTAGCCTTACAGATCATAGCAAAGAAACAGGTAAAATGTTACAGGATTATTACAGGTGAGGAAAGTGGCTGCGGCTTGTGGGTCACACTGCCAGATCTTTGACCCTCAGTAGTGATGGTGTTCTAAGGGAGTAATTAGAAGCCTAATTACCATCTTGGGGGTACGAGGATATGGTTAAGTTGGCGAGAGTACTTTCTGTGCAAGCATATGGAGCTGAGTTCACATTTCTGGAACCCATATCAAAACCTAGGTGTGGTGAGCTGCCTGCCATTCCAGTGCTCTGTAGAAAAAGAGAAAGAGCGGTATCTTGGGCTTGTTGGACACCAGTGTTGTAACTCTGGGGTCAGTGAGATACTGTTGCTAGGGTTTAAGACAGAAGGTGAAAGAACAGAATGGGTCAAGTCCTCTTCTAGTCTTTATGTCCCCACATACATACATATTACATATATGCCACACATATACACATAATGAATTATGACTTTAAAGCATAAAGCCCTTTGCTAACTGCGAAGTCTCACACTGTTCATATAGACTAGCACTGTTACCATGGCACACTTCAAATTCTCTCACTCTGTCAATGACAATTGTTAAAATAAATGTTAAGTCATTTGAAACACATTGGAAATTCTGTTATAAAATCATTTTCTTTGGTTTTTGAAAAGTAATATTATTTATATTAATTTTATAGTGGGTTATCTGAGATCTATTTGGGTGACATACCGTAATGTTTCTGTGAATTCTCTCTTGATGTTAGTGTTTCAGAATAACTATAACACAGATATGATCTTAAATCATGGAACTTTTATCTAAGAAAATATATATTCATTAATAATCTAAATCCAAAATACTTTAACTTCATGGTTTTTATAATTAGATAAGAAGATATGACGAGAAAGTAATTTGAATAATAAGCTTTAAAAAAGCCAACTTGAGAAACTTCTGCTCCTTTCACCTGTTAAATATCATCTATCTAGGGTCATACTTTTACATAAAGTCCTCTTAGGTTTTATTATTTATTAACAAAAGAAATGTCATTTCATGCAGTGAATGCATCATTTTGTCTTGTGTTTGCTTTCTTGGAGGTTAACAGCTAGATAAGTCAGTTACATGGATATTTAAAAATGCCATTGTGTGCAGATAAAATAATATTGTTCCCTTTTTCCTCACAGCATTGGGATATGTTCAAAGAAAGGAAATCTGATGCCTTCTATGTATTCATCTTTCATGTGCCTTCTAGGTGCTTGGAATATCTCCTCCCAACTGTATGACAGCCCACTCTAATGCAGAATTTAGCTTAATGTGGGCTTGTTCTGGATTCCTTCCAAGGGGAGGCAATTATCTTTGGAAGTACCCAAGAGTTCGTTTTTATAGCCTAGTCTGCTACAGAGATAGAAGCATGCACTGACGATAGTGATGATGACAATAATACCATGATACAAATAGCTACTACCGTTATATGTTTAATTCATGTTCTGTCTTTTATTTGATGTATAACCCTAACAGGTTGCCTCATTTTCCCCATCTGGTAAATAGGAGAAGTGATTTACTTAATGGTATTGTTTTAAAATTAAATGAGGTATAAAATGTTACCTGCAATGGCATTCTTCTATTTTTAAATGATACATTTTAGAAGTATTTTAAAATTTTGCAGTTATAATTGCTTCATTTTCCTCCTCCCTTTCTTTCCTGTAAACCCTTCTATATACTAACATTTTTAATGTTTTAGGACTATTCTTTCCTGATATCTATTTCCCATATTTTACTACGTATTTACTATGTGGTAGACACCACACCAAGACCTTGACATCATTATCTTATATCATCTATATACCACAGAACCTTTTAAAACAGTGTTATTATTATTGTGTTAGATATATAAAACAAAGAGGAAAGCATTAGAATAATTTCTCAAGTGTCGCATAGATAGAAGATACACATTTGATTCGGTTCACTTTAAAGCTTGTGTTATTTGAAAAGGATTGCTATAAAAATAGCACCATAATATGCAGTAATCAGTGGAAATCCTTTTACAAATAATTTTAAATAGAAATATTTTAAATAATCAAGACATTGGCTTTGCCATATAGACAATGGCCAAAATACTGTCTGTTAATTTCACAGATTAATGATTGAGTTTTTGTATTTAACATGCTAGAAGAAATGCCCGATTGGTCATTTATGATTTTCATTATGACACTCTGAACTTCAAGTGGTATCCATCAACTTTTCCTGGATTATGCAGAACACATTGAGTAGACACTCATTTTTCACTGATTAACTTCTGTAATTACCCTTGATTTAAACTTTTAAAACAGGAATTAGAAACAGTGATGCAGAAGCAGGACAAGCAGAGTGCCCCTCATATTCATGAGTGCTAATTAAACCCAACATTGACCTTGAACAGTCCAATTAAAATCTAATTTTTTTAGCTTTATTGAAATTTCTGGGTTTTTGTTTGTTTGTTTGTTTCCAGAATAGCAAAACCAACATTGTACAATAAAAGATCATCTGGAGTTATCTCCCTACCAGATCTCATACAGCTATAATAAAAATGACATGTACTGGCATAGAAACAGACTGGTAAATCAATAGAATCAAATTGAAGATACAGAAA